CGGCGGCTGACTGCAGGGAACGTTGGCTATTGACAGCCAAGGGCAAGCGTTGTGTCACCAGTTTGTTTCTAACTTAAAGATAACAATCCTTACATGCTGCTTGCTTTTCTGGTTTCCCCACAGGTAAATATGTCTATCAGCCCATGACGCCCGTAGAGCAGCTTCCCAGCACCGAAATACCCGTTCGCCCTCGGGAGTCTACAAACACCATCCAGATCTCAGTTTCGCTCACCGAACACTTTTTGAAGTTTGCGCCTGTCTTCCAGCCCCCTCTGCCCCCCGACTCCCCGCAGTTCTGCACAATCGCAGACCTCTTCATTGACAATTACCGCGTGAAATGCATCAATGGGAAGATGTGCTACGTACAGAGGCAGCCTCCCCCCGTGCCCCACAAGATAAAGCCCGAGGAAGTCCCCGTTCGCAATGCCTTAATCACAAAAGAGAGCAATACACCAAAAGCAGATCACTGCTCGTCCCCTTCCAGCTCCGAGGACTCCGGGATCAATGCGGTGGGCGTTCACTACATGGAGTCGTGCGACGAGGACACGGAGGGGGTGGCCGAGCTGAGTTCAGAAGAAGATTACAGCCCAGACAGCAGCTGGGAACCAGATGAATGCCCGCTCCTGTCACCCTCACAGTGCGAAATGGAAGTGATCGAGACTATAGAAACCACTGTGTGATCCAACAAGCTGGTATCAGATCAGTCCAGTTCCCACTCAGTAATGTTGCTTTTGTAGTATTTATATTTTCCGTTTTTTCTGACAATCCCTTTTTTCCAGTGCACTTGATATTTCAGATTCCTCATGGGAGTGCAGTCACAGGACTTCCATACTCGTGAACTAGCAGCCGCCTGAGCAGTTTTAACACGTTCTCAGCCTGATCGCATCTCTCACGTCCGCACGTAAGGTAGTGATAAATCTTAAGACTCTTGTAGCTGAAATAGGCCCTTTTCTTGGTCTGGGTTACATCATACACTACTTGTCATACAAGGACGTGCCACTGGAGATGTTTCCATCTGTCAGGATGTTTGCAGTGGGCCTTCAAAGCACAGAGGGCGAGCTGGTGCAGCATGCCTGCGAGCAGCAAAACCAAGTTGCCCTTACTCTTTCTCAAACAGCTACGCAAGGTGCAGCAACGAGAGGCTCTTTATGTCTCTGTCTGTCCTTGCGCGTTGCCCGTCCCTTCCTCTAGTGCTGGTGCAGCCCTTCTCGGAGGCTGTTGGCACCACTCTTCCAGCGGGTTGGTATGGCAGGCTAAAGAATGCACAAAGTGCCTCCAACTTTTCTCCAGGCTATGCACCGAGCATCTGCTGAGTTAGGTCAGGCTCCAAAATCTCCTGAGAAGGCAGCTGCGGCTCCGGAGGGGGATCAGTTGCTTGGATCCAGCTGGTCCTTTTTCTCTACGTGGATCTCAGGAAGGGGATCTGGCTTTTGCAGCCCAGCAGGAGGGGGAGCAGGCAGAGATGAAGCGCGGCCATCTAACCAATACCATGCTAGACTGGGGTGTAAAATGTTAGGCGAAGGAAGCAACTACCTCCAAACACACGAAATATGCCCTGGGCTTTGCCTGCTGCTTCCTCCTCTGCTGTTTGGTGCCGGGCACATGCACTCAGGACCAAGCGGCCTTAGGGCCTGCATTTGCCTGAAGAATTACAAAATTAAAAAAAGAAGTTTATCAGCCACACCACTGTGTTGGCAGAGCTTGGGGACAGCACGGAGGTGGCCATGGGAGGTGGCCCACGGGCTCGGTAGTGCGTGTGCTTGTTAAAATACAGCCTACAGTCATTCTAGTGGAGAAAGGAAGCTTCGGCTCCCGCTCCTTCACCCCCAGTTCTGCACAGGGGATTCCTCGGACAGCTGGTGAGAGCTAGCTGTCCCGCTGGTGGTCTGGTTTCAGCCCTGCTCAATGGAACAAAAATGTCATTCTCAGATTTCAGTCAGCTTGAATCAGTTGGAGTCAGTAATAACTGCATTACTGAATTTCTTTGTGTATTTGCTGTTTACGTTTCAGAAGTCACTGGTGGTACAAGGCTGTATAAACGTGTACATTTTAGTGATTGATACTAGGTTATAGTCTATGTTATAGGATGGCTCATCTTTCTCACTGTATCCTGACCATGTATTACTAATTTTATACACTTTGTAATCAGTATCTTTAGAAAACGTTTAGGCAACAGTGTGTGTATGTGCACATGCGCGTGTGCTAGTTTACCATAAATGGTTATCAAGTAATACCGTACTTTTTAGACTAACACTTTCAGACAAAAATAATAGGTTTTATAGTTTTGATGACTTACATAAAAAAGTGCAATGCTTGTTAAATGAGGAACTTGGGCCATTGCATGAACAGATACATTCTCATAAGGCACCTGAAAATACTGTTTTTCTGAGGGCATTTAAATGAAGGCTGTAGTAAAACTAAATAGGATTTATTTATTTTTTAAGGGTGGGGTTGTCGTTCTTAACTAAGGTGTCTAACGACCTTTTAATGTCTTTTGACCATTCAGACACATTCCATAGGTAGAAGGAAGCATTACGTATAAACCTACAGCATTTATTCATATTTAACCTTTCAATTGTAATCTGAGCAGAGCTGAAAGCTCGCTCTTGTGCCTGGCCTGCCTGAGCTTTCTTCCCAGAGGTGGCTTCTCCTTGCTAGGAGGACTGGGTGGGCCAGCAGCTGCATCCGCCCAGCGAGGCCCTTCTCAAGGACAGGGTGCTGCTCGCCTGCTCTCGCTGGGGCCCAAGCACAGGAACGGTCATCAGGACCCCCAGACTTGGCATGGGCTCACCTTGTTCGCAGGCAAGCAGGAGCCGCCGCCTCCTGCTGTTCGGGGGCACCGGCTGTGAGCGCAGAGAAATTCAGCTGGGTGTTTATGACCAAGACTTATCGTAAGATCCCGTGGTCTTGCAGGTTCGTATCGCTGTCGTCAGGATACATTCCTTCTTAACTGTAAGTAAGTAGCAATATTCAAAAGCTGTGAGTGTCTCCTACCCGGGATTTGTTCAGACGTCTCAAGCACAATAAGCTGCCTCTTCCTCGTGTGGTACCTGTTACACGTCAGAGGAGCAGCCTGGTGTGGGACAGGGCTAGTTCTGGCAAGTGTTGCAGCAGCCAGCACGGTGGCAGTTTTCTCACTGTGTTCCATCATGCACCCCCGTTCAGAAACACGCTCCTCACAGAACGTGATTTCTTTTCTTTGCACAAACAGTGGCGCAGACATGCTGTAAGACATGCCCTGAGCTCGTTGCTCCACTCTGCCGAGGAGAGATGTGTATATTTCCTCTTTAATAAAATACTAAACAACTGCAGTTCTGCTTGTCTTAACTGTGTATGAGAGTGAAACCTTCTGGTATTTCCAGCAAAGGAAGGGTCACTTGACAGCTTCAGATGGCAGCACCTGAAACACAGACCCAGTGCCAGGCAGAAAAGTGTCATAACCAGGTGGAACGCACCAGGCCCAGCTCCTCCAGGTGCCAGGGTTTGGGCACTTGCTAAGTACTGGGGCTGGTGGGCAGCCTCACAGCCCCATTCTCACTTGCCCATGAAAGAGCTGCCCCAGGCAGGAGCGAGGACAGCAGGGAAGAGAGCTGATGTCTGGCAGAATTCAGCTGCTGCAGCCCCTTGGCTTACCACTGACCAGGTTCACATGGGGCCACAGGCTGGAAACATCCATCTGGGGCACCGTTTTGTAGCTCCTTGGCACTAGTGGGAAGGGGGTGATCGCACCAGGCAGGAGAGGCCCCACCACATGTGCGGCGCTGGCACCACTCCCCAGTCAGGGCAGCTCTGCCTGTTCCTTG